CGCGTCGCGTTCCGCGCGCGCCTCAAGGAGCCATCAGACCACCACAGATGGGGCCTAACAGGGCTGATGCCGATACGGAGCCGCGGAAGACTTAACGGGTTGCCGGGTTGCCGGGGCTCCGGCTCGAAGTTCAGGAGTAGGAACGGGGTGGTTTTTAGTCAGTAAGAGTCTGACACTCCCTCCCGCCTCACCCGGGCGGGAGAAGTCATTGGATGATTTTCCCCCCTCAAAAAAAAAAAAGGTAGCCAAACGCGAAGATTATGGCTCTTACGTAGAGGAGGCCCATAATCCAGCTGTCCATCAGTTCATTGTCACGGCCTGTAGATCGCGACAATGAAAGGAAAGCATACATAATGTCACTCATTACCTTAGAAATGAGTGACCCTAAAAACTTAGATAATGTATGATAAGTTCCTATTGAAATATTCATAGCAATACACAGTGCAGCGCCAATAATGTTGCTATTATAATTGCATCAGGCGCCTTGCTATTTGATGCAAAGCTAACAGTTGCTATAAAATTTTTGGCAGGCTCGCGCCCACAAACTACTTAAACATATGTACCTGGAGCTGTGGTGGACTTAGTGGGTTACCAAGGGGTTCGGCTTTATGCAGGAGCAGGAACAGCCTGGTGTTTAGTCAGTAAGAGTCTGTCACTCTCTCTAGACTCATCCAAGGCGGGAACAGTCAAATTATTTCACCCCCTTAAAAAAATCAGCCTTCAGCTTTGCTCTTTAAAATCTTTTTTGGGCACATTTCAGCCTTTATCATCATAATAGGGATGATGACAGGATACGAAAATTAAAAATCTTATTAGTTCGTCAGTTAGGTAATGAATAAATATTAGCCACGTATTTTTTTATTTTGTAATAAAACAATACTTAGATAAAACGAATCAAAGTTCAGGAGTGGGGGCTAAAACGTCATTTCTACGTATAAAATGTACATAGAAGTGACGTCACGTGACATTTCAAATCAATATATCGTCAAAAGTATTCGTTTCTGTAAGAAAATAAAAAATACGTGTCTAATGATTTAAAGTAATCTACCAGACGGACGTTAAAATAAAAATTAGGCATCTACCCTATTGCAATGCAAAGTTTAGACATTTTTTATGCATTCTTGGTGCACATTACACCACTTTAATGACACTGCAAGATTATAATGCGTCTTCCAATATTTATGATGACTGTTGCTAAGGTATAAGTAGTATATCAAAGAATTAGATTTATCTATACAAAGCGATAGTTACGCTTCATTTACATACAATAATTTGATAACAGTATTGTATTGATATGGAGTGCAATTAGGTGTAATAAAATAATTAATTATACATCAGTAATTATATCTATTCTTTTAGGATCAAAAGAGCAAGTCAAATCAAAATCAAGCCCAGGGCGCTTACTCTTGAAACCAATCTCAATGTCAATGCAATTTCAATCCAATAAAATCTAAATAATGATTCAATGTCAACACTATACAACCCCTATCGTACCTGTTACAATAGCATTCAGAGCACGGAATATAAAGACAAACTTAATACTATTTAGTTCATTCAATATCCACCCAGTGCGGATGTAATGAGCGCTGGTGTTGCGACTTAAGAGTATGAAATTTCACAATACCAATGTCGATCGATCGAAATTGGATTCAAGAGTAAGCTCTCAGGAAGGCACTTTTGAACGTCGATACAAAAAAAAAGTAGGTATATCTATAATGTCAGTCTGTAGGTCAGCCCTCTAGTTGCTCTAGACACTCGTTCCAAAATGTAGATTCCTATGGAGAAGAACGAGCAAGAAACTCCATAGGTTACTCTTTTTCAATCAAGTTCACAATACAATTCTCTAGTTACATAAGTGTGAGAGCCATGCTTCGGCACGAATGGGCCAGCTCGACCGGAGTGATCACGGCCTGAAAACTATAAGGAAACAACCACAGCGTTGTGTTTCGTCGTGTGAGTGAGGTTATCGGAGGCCTAATTGTTAAGTGGTTTGATGAGAAGAGCTGAAGACCGAGCTCAGTGGCGTGCCATTGGAGAGGCTTATGTCCAGCAGTGGACGAACATGGACTGATGATGTGTAAGTAGTGTCCGATACATTATAGACTCGCCACCTAATAGATACATGGGACGACAGAAATATAAAAAAAAATCTTCTTTAATATATCTATGCATGAGACTCATAACTAGGGATTTTTTCAAGGGGGGAAAATCATCGAATTACTGCTCTTGCCTGGATGAAGCGGGAGGGAGTGTCAAACTCTTACTGACTAAAAACCACCCCGTTCCTTCTCCTGCACGTCGAGCCGGAGTCCCGCTAACCCTTTAGGTTCTCCGCAACTCAGAATCGGCATCAGCCCTGTTGGGCCCCATCCGTGGTGGTCTGATGGCTCTTTGAGGCGCGCGCGGAACGCTCGGCGACGGCGCCGTACGCTCGGGTCTGGTTCTGGTCGGACGGAGAGCCATCCATGCTCGCCGTCCGCAGGCCCACGCTTTTTTTTCTTTTTTTTAAGGGGGGAACATCATCGAATGACTGCTTCCGCCTGGATGAGGCAGGAGGGAATGTCAAACTCTTACTGACTAAAAACCACCCCGTTCCTTCTCCTGCACGTCGAGCCGGAGCCCCGGTTACCCGTTAGGTTCTCCGCGACCCGTTAGGTTCTCCGCGACGATAGTTGGCAACCCTACTCATAACATAAATAGTGAAAAGTGGGTGTTATATTGTGTATAGGTCTGTCCTTTAGGAAATAAAAGACGTGACGTTATGTTCCACACGTAATTGTCGCACGAGTTACCTATTAAAATTGTTATTGTATGAGAAGTAATAAAAACATACTAATGTATGAATGTATGTACATGTACACGTAACGAACAATATTAATCAAATTGTAAAAAGATCATAAACTGTCTTTATTAACCGACTTCAAAACAAATGAGGGTCTCACTTTGACCCGAGGCCTTAGTACGAGTATAATTTACGTTTAAAACTTTAAAGCATTCGTAACGAGTACGCGTTCGGCGCTCTGATTGGCCGGCGCACATGAACCAACCAATCAGAGCGCCGAACGCGTACTCGTGAAACAAACTCGTACGAAGGCCTCAGTATGTATGTATGTATACATGTATTTACATATGTTTGTGTGAATTATCTCGCGATTGGGTCAACCGATTTCGATGCGGTTTTCAGAACAGTATTTGTTACTTTAGGAGAATGTTTTAGTTTATTCATTGTGGCGATACATGTCACAAATCAACGGATGACGTCATAAGAACCCTACATCGCACATGCGAAGTTCACAAGCGATTAAACATGGATAGAAAATCCCAACGAACAACTGTTGGGCAGAAATCCCGCCAGGCACGATCACCTCGCCTGGTCGGAGGATCCTCATTTTCCGATCTTATGGAACTATACTCTCGATTCCCTAAATAATTAAAAAAAGAGAGTGTTGAAGTTAGTTTATTTTAAACGTAATTTACAAAAGAATTATTTTGGTGATCCGTCAACTCGTTTACCGGATAATCCCATAAAAAAATGGTAATGACACTGAGAGAAGTGTCAAAAAAGTCAATTCCATAGAATTTGGTTG